CGATTGGCGTCCGATCCTACGCAAAACTCGTACATGTTCGGTCCAACGGTTAACCCAAGAGCATCATAAACGGCAAACATACCCGATAAACCTTCGTTGAAGGTAATAACGGCTACATCAGTCGCAATATCAACTATAATCTTATCGCTAGATATCGTTTTTGGAGCAATTAACCACACAACAGCATTGAAATACTCGTTACTATTTTGAGAATACGCACCCAAGTAGCGTAACTGAAGGTTGTCGGAACTGAGTTCTTTATACATGGGTTGTATCGCCTTGAAAACATCCTCATGCATTGGACTCTTGTGCTCGTATGTTGCAAGAGTACCAAGCGCTTTACTGCGCTGTCAAGAACAACAAGAACACTCTCTTTGTGCGAAGGGTACACCTCCTCGTACTCAGCAGTACCTTCTTTTTTTTGCCAATATTCACACACTTTACAGTACTTTGATTTTACACACACATCTAATACCTTGCCAGTGTGCCAACCAATTAAAGTAACTAATCCAAACAAAGATGAAAACCCCCTCTTACGCCAAGATCCATTGCCTGACACCGTAAGACCGCCTTCTTCACCTCGTTCAATAGAACGTTCTTTCTCTTCAATAGCTGATTTTTTCATAGAAATAATTTTAACAGATGAAGTAGCAGTGCCAATATTGGAAATGATCATACTGTAAGTTGTTTGAAAAACAGGCTTTGCGAAATCCATCATCGCACAGAACTTTTTTATACCGTTGATGCCTATGCCAATGACGCGCATAGCAAAAATAATACGGCAATTGATCTCATAAGCACGATCATGTATTAGAGGACAGTTAATAATATCGGCATCACCGCAGTTCGAACAAGACACAACAATCTTGAAGCCTAGTCCACGCTTGCTCGACTGTGAAAACTGCACATCACTATTACATTTTTTACATACTAATAATTCAGAAAGAGCAGTAAATACAGCGAAAAAAAATGTATGAAACAGTAGCCGAAATCCCTATCAACATCGCAATCACGATTTAAATCAGAATTTTTTAATTTTTTCGCCTTATTTTGAATAGCCTTCGAACGCATAGTGGTTAGACGGGTGTCGGTTACTAATTTTACTCCGGGTTGTTCTGGTACTTCTTGTTTTACTGCCTTTGTGGTCACTGTACAACTTGTTACTCATAATTAAGTACTTTTGAATATAATTCACAGTTAAAAAGTACAGCAAAACTCAAACTAAGAACGTACACAACTAGAACGGCTGATCGACTAAACAAAGGGAAATTGTGAGTAAACACGTGCTGTACAGACGCTGTAACGATCGAAATTCTATACTTCATATTCAAAAAAAGATATCGATCATAGGTAACTTCTACTAATTTACAAAGCCGCGAATTAAAAAAAAAAACGAGCATCGCTAAAATAAGCGAAAAATGTGATTTTGGAGCATAAAAGTTGTTCGGAAAAAATTGATTTAAACGAATTTTGAGTTTAGATCAGTACTTGGGCGTTGAAGATTTTGATTCTAGGATAGTTTTAGCATGATATAAGCCAATACAAAAAAAATGAAAAAAAAAAAAAATTTGGTGGATATTACCCCTTAAGTTCAAATTTAAAATATGACTAAAAATACCTCTAACAATTTATAATGTTAACTTTAAAGTATTACGTCATAATTTAGTAGGATTTATTGTTATACCAAATATATTGTTAGTGATCGATCAAAGTTAATATGTCGTTACATGTAATTCATCTTTTAAGACACCTTAGATAGTAAATTTATCAATGATTTTTAACATAAAATGTTTTTTTACAATACAAAAATTTGAGTAGACAGTCATTTTTGTCAATTTTTACTTAATCTTATTAAATGAGACGGCAAACTTTAGAAATTAAATAATTTATATTTTTATTTTATATAAAATATAAAAATTAATTTTATTAATTATAAAAGCTGACCTATTAAAATATGAACATTTAAATGTATGTTAATCTATTCAAATATTTTTTACTTTTACAAACAATTTTACAGAATTGATAGGGTTTTTAGAAATTATTCTTCCAATTTTTTTAAATTCAAAACATTCAAAGTGTGATTTTTTTATAAAATAATTATTCTATAAATTACAATTAATAGCCTTGCTTTTGTGAAAAATATCTTGATATGTTAGATTCTTATTTATTAATTTTTCATTATCTATAAGTAAACTGTTACGTCAAATCTAAAATTAGATATTTTAATAAAAAACATTGTTGATACATTTTTATAAGAATGCCGTTATAATTAATAATTATAAACCAGTTATTCTTAAAATTTTTCAAATGAAATAAACTATATCTCACAAAAATAAAATTATGGTAATGATTTATAGACAAATTTATTTTATTTCAAAAAACTATCATAAACTTTAAAACGCGTCAATGAATCTAGTAATAGATTTTTACTAAAAGAATTACTTCCAAAGGTCTGTTACTTTATTATAATTTTCTCTCCTTTATAATTAAGTGATAATGTTCAAATGAGTCAATCCCGTCTCAGGCCATTTTCTGTTACATTGAAAATTATTTCAATTTTCTAAATATGTTTAACTACTATTATTTTATTATTTCATTTATGTGACTTTACTAATCACGTCACTTACAACATTGCCCTGTCATAAAAGGAAATAAACTTTGGCGGACTTGAAGAAAGTATCAGCGTTTTCCAGAATAATACAGCTGTTATACAAAACAGTCTTATGAAACAATGGAACCGACGGAAAATTTATTATTTATACGATGAAATGCATTGTGACAGTAAAACAAGCAAAAGTTTACTCGTGCAAATCACCAAAAGTTTTTCAGACGCCTCTTACTCTTTGGTTTAGAAATATTGGCTTAAACTTGAAAAACTGAATTTTAAAAAAAAGAATCACAATACCATTGTAAAATATAATATTTATTTATATTATATGTGTCTATGGCTGTGTCGTAAGTACTTCAGAAACAATAACGCTCTAAAAAATAAACTTAATGTATATTTTATTTATTATGATAAAAACATCCTCATGTCTTTTAAGTAGTAATGATTGATTTTTTCATTTTTATGTAATGACATAGAACGCTTATTGTTGATAAAATCATTCGTTTTATTTAACATATTTTATTTAACAATGTGTGATTTCATTTATACAGTTTTAAAAATGTATTTAGAAGCATTATATATTTTTATTCGTCTTATTATCACTGTTAAGGCATATTATTATTAAAAATCAACTATAGCTTTATTAGTTTTATTATAAATGATTAAAAATTTTGCTATGATTATGTAATCATAGAAATTTTTATTTTACGTTATTTTATTTGTTCGTTCATTTAAAACTTAAGGACTTACATTTTATAAGGTTCAACAGTGTTTATTATGAAATTCTTTTGCATGTGAAATGGGTTCAATTTTACTGTCACAAATTGATTACAAATTCTATACAAATGAAAATAATTAACTATTTCACCCTTCTAATGCGTAAGCATTTAAAGTCAAAATAGCCAAATTTATTGTAAATGTGTATGCTTTAGTGATGAGCTGAGTGTTAGACACCTACACACTTCCTTTTTTGCTTTAATGTTTTATTTCCATTTATTACTAGTACCTTAGATTTGCAAAGTAACTTCATTTTTAATATAAGCGTGATTTTTATGTAATGCGTGTAAAAACAATGTAACTTGTAAATTTATTGACAAAGTAACTAAATAGTTACTTTTAATGTAATAATGTCTCTGAATAGGCTTTTAACAAAACTGTATATAGTTAATTCGAATTGTTACTACAAACACATTAAACTTTTTAGAAAAATTTGCAGAACTGTATATCCAAGTTCCACAGATTCCGGTAACACTTTTGTGATGGATCACAGACAATTTGTCTCCACTCTCAGATAACGTTTGATGTTATGTATTTGACTGAGCATGATAAACTATCGGATTTTTGTTCATGTTTTTGAACATTTTCATGAACAAAGGTACGACGACTTGTGGTATACAAGTTAAAACGTATATGTTGAAAAAAGATTAAAGACTTAAAGTATCC